GATTGATTACAAATTATTTTTGCTCTATCGTATAGACTTTTTACGATACCTTTTTTAACCATTATTGGGTGATTTGAATCGAAATTCAAATATCGGTTAGTATCAGTAGGTTTTCTATAGACCAAGGCTTCGAAATTGTTTAAATTTTTCTGAATTAGTATATCGAGAAAAGGAATTTGGTGATTTTGTTCTTTTTCAATAGTGAATTTAATTGTTGGTTCTTTATTATTCAGATAAGATAAAAATTCATCAAGTTTTTGTTCTCCATGACTGTAAATGGAGAATACGTTATCAATATAACGCCACCAAATTATTGGTTTAAATTTGTAATTATTAATGAAAGTTGATTCAAAATTTTCCATAAATAAATTACTAAAAAATGGGGATAGTGGTGACTACGCAGTTCTTATTGCGAAATAAGAGCACTATTTATCAATCTGTAATAAAAGAAGTTGGAAAATTCTGCCTTTTTTAAAGAAACATTTTTGAGGCGAAATACCCAACAAGCAGTTTGTAAAAAAATATTTTTATTAACACATTGATATTGCGCAGTTCGACGCGACTTTGATCACACGAAGTCAATCGGTATCAAAACACTTTCAACAACTCAAATTTTTATCTGGCATTTATTGACTTTGTAATTCTGCTTTTCGCCCTGTTTTAAATTGCCTCGAAAACCGCAGTAGGGCTGTAAAAATTTCAATTTCTAGTAAGATTTTGTAGATTTTACGCCCCTTTACTAAAGTTGATTTAGGTTCATGAAAATCGTTCAAAAACCCGCTGAAGAAATTAAAAGTCCCAAGAAGCTCCAACTGGAAGGGTTTCAAATGTTTTGCAACTTTTACGAAATTTTTAAACTCCCCACATACATATAAAGGGTGCGCCCATTCTGACGCTTGTTAGAGCAGTTTCCCAATCTTCAGAAGTGCTTCGCACGAAATCTCGCATAAATCCAGTGCAAGCTGAGGCTCAAAAAAATCTTCTGAGTCTACATTAAGCAAGTCGCTTACCAGCTGTACTGTACGCGTAGCGTTCCAGTTAAATTGATCAGCTCTGAAGCTGGAGTGGTAAGTTCTGAAGTTGAGGCGGATATTTGCGAGCCTGGCGACGTCAGCGGTTTGCTTGCAGCTATTTCATATGTGGGTCTACAAAACTCTCGTGCGTACCTTTATTTTGCCCAAAGAAAACCCGAACTACTCACCGATACCGTAAAATGATCACGCTGGCACTCACGATGGTATAAGCCAAAAGAGTGCCAATCGACATGAATTCAACCAGTTTTTCCAGGTCAAATAGAAGCGCAATGACTGCGGATGCAAATGCCGAAATCACTAAATTCACCTGTGGGATTTGAGTTTTGCTGTTCACATTGCCTGGAATTTGTCTAAATTTTAACGAATCTCTTCAGTCGGTGGCTGGTGTTGAAGACGTACCAAGAAACCCAAAAAGTAGTCCATCAATGGCCATTGAGTACATACATCTGGGAAGGGCAAACAGGGAGCCAAACAGAGTGGTGGTCATTCCACAGATTGCGCCTAAAGACACCATGTATTTCACCCAGGGCAAACCGGCCAAGGAAAACGCATCTGGCAAAGCTGCGCTAGAATAGG